AGTGTGCCGAGATCACGCCACGGCACTCCAGCCTTGGTGACAGAGCAAGACGCCATCTCAAAAAAAAAAAAAAAAAAAAAAAAAAAGAAAGAAAGAAAGAAAAGAAAAGGAAAAAGAAATAATTTCCCTCAGAATTTTGAAAGCGCTGCTCCATTTTGACCTTCAGGAATGCTATTGGATAGCCTGGTGCTTTCTAATTGCTCAACATTTATATATAATTTTTTGACATTTCTGGAAGTTTTGGAATCCTCTTTTATCCTTGGTAATCTGAAATTTCATGATGGTGTGGGCATTTTGCATTCACTCTGTCAGATAGCTTTTAATCCAGATACCAACGTCCATCAGTCTGAAATCTTTCTTGTATTATTTCTTTCTTTCTTTCTTTTTTCCTGAAACAGATTTTCAGTCTGTCACTCAGACTGGAATGCAGTGAAGAGATCACAGCTCACTGCAGTCTTGACCTCCAGGGCTCAAGCGATCCTCCTGCCTCAGCCTCCCAAGTAGCGAAAACTAGAGGAGTGTGTCACCATGCCTGCATAATCTTAAAAAAAATGTTTGTAGAGATGGTATCCCGCTATGTTGCTCAGGCTGGTCTTGTACTCCTTGGCCTCCCAAAGTACTAGCATATAGGCATGAGCCACCACACCCAGCCTGTATTATTTCTTGATCATATCATCCTCTTTATTTTCTGTTCTCTTTTTAGAACTTTAGATGGATGGCTCCACTACACCTTTTATCTTTTCTCTCATATTTATTATTCTTTATCTATTTGTACTTTGTGAAATGTTTCTTAACTCTTTTACTAATTTTTAAATTTTGATAGTCATAGTTTTAATTTTCTCATTCCCTGATAATTCCTTTTTTGAGGCATCCTGTCCTGTTTTATAATATGAATGCAGTATCTTCTCATATCTCACAAAGCAGTTAGTGCTTATGTGAAGTTTTACTGTTAGCTGTTTGTTAACTTTTTCTAATTTTTAATCTTCATATTAGAAGCCTTCTTCACTTTTCTAGTGATACTTGGTAGTCTGCTCTTTTTGTTTAATTTTAAAACTTTGCAACAGATGCTGGAGAGGATGTGGAGAAAAAGGAACACTTTTACACTGTTGGTGGGAGTGTAAATTAGTCCAACCATTGTGGAAGACAGTGTGGTGATTCCTCAAGGCCTTAGAAATAGAAATTCCATTTGACCCAGCAATCCCATTACTGGGTATATACCCAAAGGACTATAAATCGTTCTACTATAAGGACACATGCACACGAATGTTCATTGCAGCACTGTTTACAATAGCAAAGACCTGGAATCAACCCAAATGCCCATTGATGATAGACTGGATTGGGAAAATGTGGCACATACACACCATGGATATTATGCAGCAATCAGAAATGATGAGTTCGTGTCGTTTGTAGGGACATGGATGAATCTGGAGAACATCATTCTCAGCAAACTGACACAAGAACAGAAAATGAAACACCGCATATTCTCACTCATAGGCGGGTGATGAAAAATGAGAACACATGGACACAGAGAGGGGAGTACTAAACACTGGGGTCTATTGGAGGGAAAAGGGGAGGGCCAGTGGGAGGGGGAGGTGGGGAGGGATAGCCTGGGGAGAAATGCCAAATGTGGGTGAAGGGGAGAAAGCAAACAAAACACACTGCCATGTGTGTACCTATGCAACTGTATTGCATGCTCTGCACATGTACCCCAAAACCTAAAATGCAATAAAAAATAAAAATAAAAAAAAAAAAAAGAATTAAAACAAAAAAAACAAAGAAAAAAACTTTGTATTGGGGAAAATTTCAACAAACACAAAAGGAAAGAACAGAATAATGAGCTTCCTATGTGCTGAACCCCTGGCTTCAAATTATTATCACTATTTTTTTTAACCTATTTGCCTCCCCTCCACACACATACCTCTCCAACGTTTCGAGTTTTGTTTTTCTGGGTTTTAAATTTTGTCTGTTCTTTTCAAACAATTCAGTACTAATCAGGAATTCTGAGGACAGGGTCGAGGCTTGCTTGCTGGAAGACATCACTTGTGAGTGATTCACCAGGAAGGCAAGTCTTTTCCCTTAGATGAACCCAACATCAGTAAGAGAGGTCTTTTTTCGAGAGTCATTCAGTTTCTTCAGGAAATAACTAAGTCTTGGGCCTGGACAGCCAGCATCTGAATGCAAATGTGTGAGCAGGAAGGGGGCCTGCAGGCCCTTACGTAAACTTTCAGTCTACCACCTTGTCTCACAATGGCTCTGCACCACATCTCATGTCCCCGTTGCTCAGATGCTCTAAGGCTGGTGGGAGTGAGTCATCTCTCTTCCTCTGGGTATTCCCCTACATGTATACTTGGCTTTCTCCACATGGAAGTATGGGAAAGAACATTATACTCTCCATCTGATCTCCTAAAGTAGACAAGAGATACTGCCTGGAGTTCATGAACAAGAAGGTTTAACTATAAAGTACAAAGATAACTAAAAGAAAAACTAAAACAAAAGAAGTCAATAGGCTAGGCAGAATCAAAAATGAAAGAGGGAGGCTAGGTGCGGTGGCACAGGCCTGTTATCCCAGCACTTTGGGAGGCTGAGGCACCCTGATCTCTTGAGCTCAGGAGTTCGAAACCAGCCTGGGAAAGACGGCGAAACTCTGTCTCTACAAAAAAACATAAAAATTAGCTGAGTGTGGTCATGCACACCTGAGTCCCAGCTACTTGGGGGGCTGAGGTGGGAGGATCACCTGAGCCCAGGAGGTTGAAGCCACAGTGAGCCATGACTGTGTCAATGCATTCCAGCTTGGGTAATAAAGTGAGACCCTCTCTTTCTCTCTCTAAAAAAAAAAAAAAAATAGAAGGAAAGAAAAGAAAGAGGGAAAATTAATTGAGACAAACCCTCAGCTATTACAGCAAAAAAGAAAGAAAAATCGACTTGGTTTATAGCTGGCATTCATAAATCAAAAAACAGCAATATAAGTATTTTACTTAGGGATATGAATTACCACCAGAAGGATGTGACTGCCTGAAGAGCATGCTGGGAATGGAGGAGTGGGGCAAGGGTTTCCTGTTTTCCATTATAAGCCTATATAAAAAAAAAAAAGTGTGTGGATTTCTTTGATATAACTTTTTCTTCTAATTTAACAAAAGCATGTCAGAGAAACAGGGAATTCTTCAATGTTCCTATTATTCTTAGGCTAAATACCTAATTTTTTGTTGTTTTTTGAGACAGGGTCTGTCTGTCACTCAGGCTAGAGTGCACTGGCACAATCAGGCCTCACTACCACCCTGATCAACCTCCTGGTGGACCTCCTAGGCTCAAGTGAGCCTACTGCCTCAGCCTCCTTAGTAGCTAGGACTACAGACACATGCCACAACACCCAGCTAATTTTTGTTTTTTTTTGCAGAGACGGGTAACTCATTATGTTACCCAGGTTGGTCTCTGACAGAGCAGGAGCACCATCATCTCAGACAAACACTGCCACTTCAAGTTCCAGCTTCCTTTTTAAAACTCCTGGGCTCAACAGATCCTCCCACTTCAGCCTTCCAAGCACTGGGATTACAGGTGTGAGCCACTGTGCTCAGCCAAGACTTAAATGAAAATTCCTTAAACAGCTGGTAAATCTCTTTAAAAACCAATAAAAAAAAAAAGTTTTTCTGACAATTATGAACACATGTTCAATCTCTAGCAGACTAATTCAAAGATTCACTCTGGCAGGGAAATTTTATAAAACAATAGCTAGAAGACACTGTGAGACTCGATAGAAAAAGAACATGCACAGTTAAAGGTTATGAGACTCCTAACTACTGATAGTCTGCTGATGGGTTGGATAATTGATTTCCCAGAACATGTTTTAATCCTGTTAAAATTTATTAGAAAATTGCTTCAGTTTGTTTTTTATTAACAGGAATGTTAATTTCTTCCCAGAAGGAGACTGTAAATGAACTCATGAAAAAAGGTTTTGTCATAGACCTGGCTTGGAGCAATTTGTTCTTTTCTAAGTTTCTACAAATACTACCTAGACCATCTCTGTCCAATAGAACATTATTCATGATGGAAGTGTTCTATATCTTTGCTGTTCAACAAAGAAGCCACTAGCCACACGGCTACTGAGCACCTGACCTATGGCTAATAGAGCTAAGCAATTAGTTTTAATTTTATTAAATTTCAAGTGAAATTTAAATAGCAACATATGGTTAGCAGCCACCATGCAGGACAATACGTATCTAGAGCACAGTGGTTCCCAGCTGCTTCTTACCCCAAGCCCTGCCTTCTCTGCATTCCAGCCACTCTGGCCCATTTTTTCTCCCTAAAACATGCTGGCTCCTGCCACAGACACTTTGCATGTGTGGTCTCCTCTTCCTGGAATGTTCTTCCCTCACCTACTCCCCAAACTCTTCATCTGATACACTACTACTTTTTCTACACTACCTAGATTATCTTGTGCACTTATTTGCGTACTTGTTTGCAGTTAATCTTTATGTCTCTCCACCACCATCACTCCAACCCACCCAACTCTGGGGCCTGAATACATGTCCCATTTGGGCAAGAACTCTGCCCATCTGCCCATCTCTGTACTCCCACCACCTAGATAGAACATGCTTGGCTCTCTGTCAGCATTTGGCTAATATCTAAAAGGTAAATGACTTGTCACAATTTTGTCATCTCTCTGAGACTCTCAATTACTATCTGTAGTCTCATTCTTGCTGCTGTAATTTTGTCCCACATTGCCAACAGCCTGTGCACACTTCTACTTAAATATCCTACTGTATACACATTAAATAATGTTATCTCCTGTCCACCAGATTAACCTTCAGAAAGCTTGGCTCTATTTATGTCATACAACTCCAAACAAAGAAACCTTCAAAGACAGCCAAGAGAAAAATCAATTTTAAGGAAACACTGAACACACTATACATGCTACAAGGTCCTTAGGTCTTTTGTACACCAATATAAAAATAAAGCAAACAGAAATGTTTCTCAAAGATACAAGCGAGAAAGTTAAAACTTACCAAAAGTTCAAAAATGTCCATGAAGACAGAATGTCCTTTCGGTGTTTTCTCGTTCAGGCTGGCAGGAGACCAGATCCAATAGAAGTAAGTGCCATCTGAAGACAGGTGCACAGTGCTCATGGTGCTGCCAATGGGGAGGTGATTGGCTGGCATTGGTACCACCTGGCACACCTGGGCATGAAAGGGAGGAAATCTCCATTAGAGCCACATATAAATTCTGATTAATCCTATCAGCTCATCATTAATGCTATTATGTCCAAGATGAGAATTCACTAGGCTTCCTGATCAAAATAAAATGGATATTTATCTCTAAGAATAATATATGCAAATTATATGGCAAAAATATAGAAGTTAATACAATAGGCAATAGAATAAATATGAATAGCCATGCAACAGATGAAAAGGTTCTTAGGATTGATTCAAATTACATTTTAATAAGAAAAAGTATTTACCAAACACTTTGAATCTATTATGCATATGTGTTCTATCTAACACTTATTAAAAACAAAGTTTTAGAGAAGCAGCACTTTCTGAAATTTCTTTAGTAAATGAATTTAAAATAATTTTATTTAAAGGACAAGAACTGTGTTTTATTTACCTTTGTATCTCCAGTACCTAATGCAAAGCCTAACTCAAAGTTGTTCAATGAATATGGAAGGAAGGAAAAAAGAGACAGCAAAAGAAAGCCAAGAGGGAAAGCTGAGAAGAGGGAGAAGGAGAAACAAGGTAAAAAATATAAAGGCCCATGACAGACCCTAACTTAGAACATGAAGGCTTATTAAAATTCACCAAGTCCATCAGGAGGAAAAGACAAACAACAATTCTGTATATTAGACATGAAGGCACGTGTTTCTAATACTAAACATCCTTCTGTTTGAGCATAATGAATAAGCTTTGCATCATTTCACATTAAATGTGTAGCTACATACTAATTTTTACTCCCAAAGATAAGTGCTTAAAATGAGGGAACATTAGAACCACAAAAGTCTGCTGGCTAGGTTTAAGAAAAAAATTCAGAAATAGAAGAGTTGAGAAACTCAAAATAAAAATAATTAAAGAGGGTCGGATCCCTTCCGACAACAACAGTAAGAACAGTGCTCAACTCCCCATTACTTTGGGAGGGGGCACTAGTTTTCCCAAGGCTATCTCTGACCCCTCAATTCCCCATTACTTTGGGAGGGGGCACTAGTCTTCCCAAGGCTATCTCTGACCCCTCAAGTGATTTCATATGAACTTTTCTCCAGACCTGTTTTGTCTAGCTCAAAAGTAAAAACTCATTTAGTTGATGTAACCATACTTTGAACCTACAGTACCAGGAAGACTAGAAAGTTAACAGCTACTAATTGGCCTGTGCTATCCCCAAAGTGTTCCCAATGCACACATCTAGTTCATGACCTACAGCCCTGCTTTCTTGGACAGTGTCAAAGTTTCTGCAACGACACCGAGGAACTTGGCATTACTTCAGATGCAAACCATGTTCCAAGATTTAACATCTGTTTAACTTCCAGTCTTATAACTTCTGTTTCAAATGAATATGTGACATCCTCATCTGTCTGCACTTGTGACAAGCAATTAGGTCAACTGGGCATCTATTTGTTAATTTGTTCATTTTATTCATCCAATAATTATTGAGCACCTACTATGTGCTCTGAAGATGACAGTGGTGAACGAGACTCAGTCCCTGTTCTCTAGGACAGGCAGCTGAGTGACAGACAGGAAGAAATGTAACATTCCACTTAATTTCTAAATGTGACTACTCTCGGGGCACTCACTCCACAGATGCCAACTCCAATCATTTAATCCAACTTTGGTTGAAAGACAGAAAGTTGCAGTGTAAATAGTTCAAACTCCAGAGCAGAGAACCAAAGGTTCAAGTTCTGGTGGTGCTACTATTGGCTGTGTGACCTTAGGCAAGTTACTTAACCTCTCTGAGCTGCATTCTTTCACTCAACAATAAACACTTACTGAATGCTTATTAGGAGCCTAGCCTCAGTTGCCTTATCTGTAAGATAGACCTACCATAGTTATGCCTCACAGGTAGGAAGAGGAAACATATGCAAATTGCCTAGGCCAGGGCCTAGAACATAGGAGATAGTGAGGAATGGTAGTTATCATCATTGTTGTTATTATCAGTCAAATGTCAAGCACTATGTTACATCGTAGGAATACCTAGATGAGTAGGACAGAGTCCAGGCCAAAAGGTGTGCGTGATCGGTGAAGTCAGGCAGAAAAGCAGGTAACTGCAGTTTAATATACCAAGTGCCAAGGCAGAGTGCTTATGAGAGTACTAAAGCCAAACTCTCAATCCCTAGCACACAATGATTTTACTCTACACTCATTTCAAAGCTCCCTTTCCCACAGAGAGGCTGTTTAGAACAAATTGAATAAGGAAATGATGCCTTCACAAAATAGATCTGGTTCAAAAAAGAAAAAAAAAACAGCTAGTATTTATACCATCTTTGACTGTCTAGAATTTTTTTCTTAATCATAAAAAAAAGTTTGTTGTAGGCTGTAGAAACTTAAAGAGCACATTCACTCAGCTCATATGGGAAAAGTCTAAGTAAGACATTAAAGAAAAAACAGAATGTCCAAACTATAACAATTAAAAGGATGCCACTCTGGGAGGAAAATATATTATTAATTCTGATGATGTCAGTAACTTCCCTTACTGCCTCTAAAAAAAAAAAAAAATATATATATATATATGGCCTTGGTTTTTTGTTTACCTGAAGGGTGTTCTGTTCAATGACCTGGAAAAGGGAATGAGGTTTATTATCGAAAGAGACAGGCCGGTGGAGAAGACTGCCGCTGCCAAAAGCCACCCATCCTGGTTCCAACTCCTCATTTCGGCAGTACACAAAACCTCTGTGGAAGAAAACGGAGCACATCACCTGACTATGTCGGAAACCCACACAAGCTAAAACAGACACAAACAACATTTTCAACCTAATTTTTAAAAATGATTAAGTATGTAAAACATCTGAAGGAAAGTGAATGTATTACATATACTTCAGTACTGACAAACTATAGCAAATATTGACTTCTTTCCATAATAAATTAGAGGAGAGAAAAGGTTGGGGAAAAGATCTAAATGTATACAAGGTTCTCAAACTGCAGATTATTTCGGCAGCAGTTTACAGGTCTTATATCACAACTGAAAATCACTTGGTAATCCAACGTCAAACGCAAGTTCAGAGACTTAAGTAGAAAAATGTCCACTTATCAACATGGAGAAGTCACTGACATTGTTACAAAACTACTGATCACAGAGGACTTTCTGGCTGGCAACAATTATCTTGGGGCTACCAAACTCTTCAGGGCCAAAATAAAGCTAAAATGCACTAACAGAACAAGATGGAGAGAAGTGGCAATAAGAGAAGATTCCAATTATTTGAATTAGTTCCGACTTGTTATTTAGTTACTAGCCTATGGGGAGTTGGAATGTACCCCCAGTGTCTTCTTCACAGAGATTTATGTAAGGAGGAAAATGTTCCAGCCAAATCATTCAGCAAGTGCCATGCAACTGACCTGAGAGTACCATGTAATCCAGACCCCAATTTGCTTACTCCTCTTCCAACTGAGTTAGTAGTATACAGGTAAAGACCGTCTGCCGTGAGACAGCGTCCCAAGTCAGCATCTGAAATCGTTTTTTCACAGGTAAATAATATATATGTTTTTTCTATTGAAATTATAAACATGCTTTCTCTAATGAAAAAGCCATTAGGATGTTGAGTGAAAGATAATCTCCCACTTCTAAAATAAGAGCTTCATTATGACTTTCAGGGAAGATGGCTTGAACCCCCAAATCAAACATCCAAAATACATGTGGACCAGGAACCAAGGTAAGATCAGATAGTTATCAGCAGGGGAATGTGGTTTAGCCTGCCAAATGTTTTTCTTTTTTTTGAAAAGCTTGTAATGAGTCAAGTTTAAACATTCCTAATTCTAATTTGAAATGACTAAGAGTATAGTACAACACTTTTATTAGTAATTGCACAGTAAGAGAGGCGTGAGCTCTTATGAGCTCAGTAAGTGACCCTGAACCTCTTTGAAACGTCAGTTTCTTCTGTAAGATGAAGATAATAATATGTACCTCAAGGGTTACACTGATGGCCAGATGAGATAACAGAGGTAAGTAAATACATCTATATTGCTCTCTACTGCAAAGCCAGTATTCCATAAATGGCAAATGAAATTGTGTTAATATACATTAAACTAAACTCTGCTTCTGTAGATTTTCCATTTAGAGATCCTAATTTTAGTCTCTGGAGGGACACAGCATAGAAGTTTAACGTCTTTTCTATTTTAAAATAGCAATATGTTTCCCCTTAGCTCTGTCTTCCTCAATCTAAAATAAACAGTATCTCTCTAAATGATAGTAATTGGTTTAGTAACTTATACTCCAAAGATTTTGCCTTAAAATGGAGCTTATGGATAAAACTTTCAGGGTTTATTTTCATAATCATTCCGCTCACTATGTTTAAGTGGAATCTTTCTACCTGAAGCATGCCATATTAGCTGGAGGAAATGCAGAATCACACCATCAAATTAGTATTAAAAATGCTGTTGACTTTAAAATTCAGTCTACTAATCTGAGACAACTGGGACCTGTACCTATTGTTTCCTTCAGTAAAAAAATTCGTTAAAGTGAGTAACCATTTTTAAAACATTAATTTCATACCTTAAACATTTTAATTTAAAACTTATAGATTATATTTATTCACCAATCTTTAGATTAAGGCCCAAGGCCTTTTGAGTATGGCTCTATCTAGGGGCAGAAATGAAAAGGACAAACAAAACAAGATTAGCCAGGAGTGGATATTTGTTGAAGCTGAGTGATGAGTACACAGGGCTTATTACAGTATTCTCTCAAAGTCAGTCAAATGTGGAATGTTTTCAATATTAAAAGTTACATTGTGGCTGGGCACGGTGGCTCACTTCTGTAATCCCAGTGCCTTGGGAGGCTGAGGCGGATGGATCATTTGAAGTCAGGAATTCGAGACCAGCCTGGCCAACATGGTGAAATCCCATCTCTACTAAAAATACAAAAATTAGCCAGGCATGGTGGTGGGCACTTGTAATCCCAGCTACTAGGGAGGCTGAGGCAGGAAAATCACTTAAACCTGGGAGGTGGAGGCTGCAGTGAGCAGAGATCATGCCATTGCACTCCAGCCTGGACGACAAGAGCAAAACTCAATCTCAAAAAAAAAAAAAGGCCAGGCATGGTGACTCACATCTATAATCCCAGCACTTTGGGAGGCTGAGGCTGGCAGAGCAGGAGGTCAAGAGGTCGAGACCCTTCTGGCTAACACGGTGAAACCCTGTCTCTACTAAAAATACAAAAAATTAGCCAGGCGTGGTGGTATGCAGGCAGAATTGCTCAAAACTGGGAGGCTGAGGTTGCAGTGAGCCGAGATAGCGCCACTGCACTCCAGCCTGGGTGACAGAGAGAGACTCCATTTCAAAAAAAAAAAACTATTACAAGAAAAACAGGCCAGGTGCAATGGCTCGCACCTGTAATCCTGGCACTTTGGAAAGCAGAGGTGGTGGGAGGATGGCGTGAGCCTAGGATTTAAAGACCAGCTTGGGCAACAAAACGAGATCCCTGTCTCTACAAAAAAAAAAAAGAAAAGAAAAAATTAAATTAACTAATTATCTGGGCATGGTAGTATGGTAGTGCATGCCTGTGGTCCCAGCTACTCAGGAGGCTGCGAGGCTGCAGCTGTGATTGCACCACTGCACTCCAGCTTGGGCAAAGGAACAAGACCCCTGCCACAAAAAAAAAAAAAAAAAAAAAAAAGAAAAGAGAAAAAAAAGAAAAACATCCTTTCCCTAGATGTAAAACCAAAGGTTCAGGAGAATGAAAGCAAACAGATCAGCTTAGTACCATCCTCCTCAGTGAGAAACTACCCCAAGGGAAATACCAAATGAAGTAAAAAGAGAGAATCAAGAAAGAAGTTTTAGTTGTATGGTAGGATATAAGTTGGAGTCTATAATGTCTGAGAACTTCTTGGGTACTGCAGGCATCCTGCCTTGTCTGCTGTCTCTGGTTGAGTCAGTGAAGGAAACAAATAATATTTAAAAGCCTTGCCTCTTTCTCTCCACACATTCGAATGCCTGTTTAGACTGTGGAAAGGCACAGACCCTGGGCTGAGAGATGCGAGGGGGCCTGCAGCCTAGATTCTCCTCCAGGCTCATAGGGTTGCCCAGGAAGGCTGCCCCATGGAAGGTGGGAAATGAAAGGGAGGGAGGAACAGACTCTCAATCCCATACCTGATGAACACCAGTTTCTTAGAGACTTACTTCGTTGAGTCTTTCTAGAGCATTCAACTTCTTTTTTTTTTGAGACGGAGTTTCGCTCTTGTTGCCCAGGCTGGAGTGCAATGGCGCAATCTCGGCTCACCGCAACCTCTGCCTCCTGGGTTCAGGCAATTCTCCTGCCTCAGCCTCCTGAGTAGCTGGGATTACAGGCATGCGCCACCATGCCCAGCTAATTTTTTGTATTTTTAGTAGAGACGGGGTTTCACCATGTTGACCAAGATGGTCTCGATCTCTTGACCTCGTGATCCACCCGCCTCGGCCTCCCAAAGTGCTGGGATTACAGGCTTGAGCCACCGCGCCTGGCCCTGAGCATTCAACTTCTTAATGGAGACTATTTCCTGGTTTTTTTTTTTATTCCTATTTCATCAGTTATGTAAGATTTAATGATATTATCACAATAATAAGTAACAGTTACAATTAACAAACTGGTTTGGGAGCAAGCCTGCCTCTTGGCAAGCCTGCAACTCAGCTGGCGGGAGCAGAGCTAACCAGCCCTGTAGGTTCAGTGGGCCATGGCAGCAGCCTGGACATTTTATTGAGTGAATGGAGAGGTCTAATCCATCTGGCAAGTCAGTTAAGAGAGCTTCTACCATTTTTGTTGAGATAATGTAAGAAACTGACACATAATACTGTAAAGCTCTGTAAAAACATTTTAACCTAGTCTGTTTGTTTAAAGGAGATGTTAACAATTCATGCTCCCTTGAACTGCTTCGTTTTTTGCTTTTAGGACAAGAGAGCTCATTAACACACACAACAAATTACTAAAAGAAATATTATCAAGCAGTAGGACCTGATATTCTATTGGCAGACAAAAAAATTCAACTTAAGGCTATCATACACAAACTTAAATATCCAGAAGCCACTTTAAGTAATTCATGCCTCCTTGGCAAGAGTCTATGGATGATACATTTTTCTTGTGATAATAAAACCTCTAATAAAAGTCTAAAAGCTGATACTGGTGAGGTAAGAAAATGGATTTATTTTCTTACCTCACCAGTATCAGCTTTTAGACTTTTATGATAAAGCAGACAATGAACATACCGTATAGAAATCCTGAGCTCTTAATTAAAAGGAACACACAGAGTTATATCCAAATTACTTGCTACAATGATCTAAAACCACTTTATTTACATCTTAGCATTAATCGCAGGACAAAAACTCTTACATTACCTTTATTTTCAGAACTGGAGCCAGTGTTGCTATCTGGTGCAGGCAACATGTCTTCATAACCCCATGATACTATGTGTTTGCCCCCAAGCAAACAGGAGGGAGATCCAGGCCCCCCTTCCAAAAGCAATAGCCTACATGGGAGAGAAAGAAAATCACAAAGACACTGAGACAATCCATTTCATCAAGAAGTATACCTGCCACCTCAAAGAGTAAAAACCAAAATCTTTAAACTAGATGTATAATATTTTATGTAAGTATTACTCACAAAGATATTCACAGTATTTTATTTATTTATTTATTTATTTATTTAGAGAGACAGTCTCACTCTGTCGCCCAGGCTGGAGTGCAGTGGTGCGATCTTAGCTCACTGTGACCTCTGCCTCCTGGGTTCAAGTGATTCTCCTGCCTCAGCCTCCTGAGTAGCTGGGACTACAGGCGCCTGCCACCACACCCAGCTAATTTTTGTATTTTTAGTAAAGATGTGGTTTTGCCATGTTGGCCAGGCTGGTCTTGAACGCCTGACCTCCTCTGATCCTCTTGCCTCAGTCTCCCAAAGTGCTGGGATTACATGGCAGGCTACAGTATTTTTAAATTTAAAAATTACAAAGCTGTGTTTATAAAAATGTTACAATAAAATTATATCTGTGTATAATATTTATCTATTTTATGTGTACTTTAGCGTGTGAGAGAGACACAGAGTGGGTTATGATTTAGGAAGCCTATCTATCAAAATGTTATGAGTAGCTATCTTTGGGTAATTAGATTATAAATGATTTTCACTTTCTTCTTTATACCTTAATATATTATCATCTCAAAATTTACAATCAGAATTCATTATAAGCTACTGCATTAAAAAATTTTTTGTTGTTGTTTTTTGAGACAAAGTCTCAATCTGTCACCCAAGCTGAGTACAGTGGCCAATCTTGGCTCACTGCAACCCCCACCTCCCAGGCTCAAGCAATCCTCCTGCCCTAGCCTCCCTAGTACTTTGGACCACAGGCAGGTACCACCACACTCATGAGTCACCATGCCCCTCCAGCTATTGCATTTTTAAAGGCATAGAAATAAAAAAGAACGAAAAATAACATGCTCTAAGAACACTTTCCAAGAAGGAAAGTTAAAAAAAATCTTATTTAAGAAGGTAAATATGGATCTGTACTTATTTGAAAATGAATCATGAATTGATAAGAGTTTAGCAATCTACTTAATAAAGGAGGCATTTGGCACAAATCTTCCTTGTTTGGAAGGAGGGTAAGGATACAAAGCAACAACTTACCTATATAGCACATCAGCTACAGGTAGGGACCCTAGATCAGTCTGTTTCTGTAGGAGATGGACTGTATGGACAAAAGTTTTCAATGATCCCCTAAAAATAAAAGGAAGGAACAGTAAATTATCAAAATTTAAAGTTAAACAATTTAGGTCATTAATGCTAATTTTATTAACCACATGCAAAAGTCCTAAAATGTGTCTCTACTTCTGCTGGTCAGATGATCTGTTGTACAAAATATACCTGATTATTAACTATCACCATTGGGTCATACACAAAGTTACAATGAAAACAACACCATGCTAATTATGAAGATGTCTCCTTGTATTTGGAAAAGTAAACAATTTTCCCAGAACATAAAAGTTCAAAACTTAAGGCTCCAGCACAAAGAACTTGTGGCTATTATACTTGGTTACCATTTTCATCACCAAGTCACCCTCCGGAGGATCACAGGATGAAACTCTAATTAGAGTCTAACAATATTTCCAGGCTTGATTTTAAAAACTTTCGCTAAGTTCATTCATTTTGATAAACAATTCACTAAACTCCATCACATTAAATAAGACCAAAAGGAATATATTCAAATAAACAATGCTTTGTGCTGAGAGATGCTCCTTCTGTATCCCTCTGACTGCACATGGTTGTAATACTTGCAGCAGGGCTCACCATTACCTGAATTCCTTGTGGTTTACAAGACTCATGGCTCTGGGAAGTCTGTCATATGGTCAGCAAGATCTAAAAGAAGGCGCTTTTAAGATGCATAAGACTTACCTGGCCGCATCCCAAGTACAAATCACCCCAAGAACACTTCCTGAACTAAATGATCACCTGTATCAGATGGGCTGACTGACTTGCTGCCTTAGTCTCTTAGCCAAGGCTTTAATTGCTGGGTATCATATGCCTAAATGCCGAAAGAAATGGAATACCTAACGCAGAACAAAGTAAGCCTAGAGTCCTCCTCTTAATTGCCCCTTTCACTATCTCTAGTTTCAGAGAATAAAAACCAAAGAATAGCATAAATAGAAGGCAAGGAGGCAGCTGATAGAGTATAAAAGCACAAGTTGGAATTGGGACACATGGGTTCTAAAACATGGCTCTGCCAATCACCAGCTATACAATCTCAGTCCCGTCACCTAACTCCTATGGATTTTTGCTTCTTCATCTGCCCAACAGGGACACTTCCCTGGGGAACGGTGAGGTTTAAAATAAAGAAGCAAAACCTTTAACATTTGAAAAATTCAGAACCATTAACCAACTCTAAGGAATTATTATTACCTGCCAGATTCAATTAGATTTTTTTCTTTTTTTAAAGAGACAGGGTCTGGCTGGGTGCAGTGGGTCATACCTGTAATCCCAGCACTTTGGGAGGCTGAGGCAGGAGAATTGCTTGCACCCAGTAGTTCAAGTTTGCAGTGAGCTATGATCACACCACTGCACTCCATCCTGGGCAACAGAATGAGACCATGTCTTTAAAAAAAAAGAGAGAGAGAGAGAGACAGGGTCTCTAATATGTTGCCTAGGTTGGTCTTGAACTCCTGGCCTCAAGCGATCCTCCTGCTTTAGCCTCCCAAAGTGCTGAAATTATAGATGTGAGCCACCATACCCAGCCCTCAATCAGATTTTAAGAGTAAAATGTAAAGTCCTTCCGTGGCTCACAAGCCCTTACATGATCTGGGCCCTGCCAACCTCATCTCCTGCCTCTCCTTCTACCATCATGTTCCAGAAACCCTGCCCACTGTGCTATCCCTTCAGACACCTCAAGCACAAAAAGAATGTTAGTTTTGTCACTCGCCACTCCATTTATGTAGAACTCTCTGCCACTTTCTCTTTGTCATCATCCAGTGCCAGCTCGTGTCAACTCTTCAATAAGGCATTCCCTGGCATCTCTGCTAATGGTGCTCCCCACCTCCACAGTCATTCTCTATCAAAATCTCTCTCTGCCTTTTCTATAGTGACTAGTCTTCTCTGGAATGATCATTTACCTATATTTGCTGCTAACTGTCTGCCTCCCTCACTCTCATGTAAACTCTGCAATTTTAGAGACTACCTCTCTACTTTATACCACCAACAAAATACCTTCCATGCAGTAAATGAGTAATGAGGTTTTGCAGAATGAATCACCCTGAGTCCATTCAACTGTAAGCTCTGTGAGGTAAGAAATCTAGAATCACTATATCCCTAAGACCAAGCAAGATTCATGTACATCAGAAATGTTCGATAAATGTTAGCTGGTTGAATGAATAAACATCCTCATAATAATGTGGGGGAAGGGGTTGCTTTGTCTTTGAGAGCATCAACCTCAAAAATTCACTAATAACTTTAGGAAGATGATCTAACACTGAAAAGCACATGACTTCTGAAGTCCAGAACAACATATTAGCAATAAAATGTAGGAACCATGTTAAAAAAAAAAAAAACCCAAGAAGAAAAAAAATAAAAACACCCATTTCAACATTTCTGAGACAGAGTTTCGCTCTTGTTACCCAGGCTGGAGTGCAATGGCGCGATCTCGGCTCACCGCAACCTCCGCCTCCTGGGTTCAGGCAATTCTCCTGCCTCAGCCTCCTGAGTAGCTGGGATTACAGGCACACGCCACTATGCCCAGCTAATTTTTTGTATTTTTAGTAGAGATGGGGTTTCACCATGTTGACCAGGATGGTCTCGATCTCTTGACCTCGTGATCCACCCGCCTCGGCCTCCCAAAGTGCTGGGATTACAGGCTTGAGCCACCCACACCCGGCCCCATTTCAACATTTCTACTGAATGAAATTTAGAATCTCAAGTACAGGAAGTAATTTCAATAACTTTGTTATAAATTGAATTGAGTACATAATAAAAATGTGAGTTTTATGAACCAATGAATAATAAACTGTTTGAAACTAAAGACTTGATAATTATTCCTAACACCCTAAATTTCTCTAAAGACAGTACTGTCTAAAAGCAAATGTTCTCAAATGGAATTTGCACATCAATAACACATCTAGGACTTGAAATTGTCTCTGTGTATGCAGAAAATAAATCGATCCAATATAAAGCCTTTACAAGGAAACTTATTTCAGTACCACACAATGTCTCTAGAATTCAGCACATGTCAGGATTCACAAACTACAGCTTTAGTGGATCTAAAACTAGGCTATGACAGCTTGCTCAGGGCAAAGAAACTTACAATAAATACTGGTGCCATTTTGCCTTAAAAAACAAATCCTTAAGATTCAATCATTTGAAAGTCAACTTTGAAACTATGAAGAGAAAAACAGAGGAAGAAGACTTATAGCTAAGAACATCATAATTACCCAAGAAGAATTCTCCCACCTAAGTGTGGCTAAAAGAAAGAAGATCCCAGAACATAAATTAAAAAAAAAGAAAAGAAAAGAAAAGAAAGAAAATCCCAATCAAATAAAAAATTCTAAGGAAGAGGGTAACACTGAAATTTCCTTTGATGTGATCAAAAACAAAAAATTTTAAGGAAGAGGGACAGAATAGTGACACTAATCTGTCAGGTTGTGATCCTAACTGTTCTCTAGACAATTAGTTTAGAGGAAAACAAAGGAGTGAAACTTCTTTCTCACAAACAGATGCCAGTGATCATATGGGTCACTGGGTAGAAGAATGTACAAAATTCCTGGAAAAGCAATTCCAGGCAAGGCGGGGTGGCTCATGCCTGTAATCCCAGCACTCTGGGAGGCCGAGATGGGCAGACTGCTTGAGCTCAGGAGTTTGAGACCAGCCTGGGCAACAAAAGAAAACCCCATCTCTACAAAAGATACAAAAAATTAGCTGGCCATAGTGGCAGGTGCCTGTAGTCCCAGCTACTTGGGAGGCTGAGGTGGGAGAATCACTTGAGCCAGGGAGGCAGAAATTACAGTGAGCTGAGATCATGTCACTCCAGCCTGGGAAACAGAGCAAGACCCCATCTCAAAAAAAAAGAAGAAAAAGAAGATGAAGACAGAGGCCAGGCACAGTGGCGGCTCATGCCTGTATTCCAGTACTTTGGGAGGCTGAGGTGGGCAGATCACCTGAGGTCAGGAGTTCAACACCAGTCTGACAAACATAGTGAAACCCCCAACTCTAGTAAAAATACAAAAAAACTTGCTGGACACGGTGATGCCCACCTGTAATCTCAACACTTTGGGAGGCCAAGGCAGGTGAATCACAAGGTCAGGAGATCGAGACCATCCTGGTTAACACGGTGAAACTCCATTTCTACTAAAAATACAAAACATTAGCCAGGTTTGGTGGAACACACCTGTAATCCCAGTTAGTCAGGAGGTTGAGGCAGAAGAATCCCTTGAACCTGGGAGGCAGAGGTTGGAGTAAGCTGAGATCACACCACTGCATTCTAACCTGGGCAACAGAGTGAGACTCAGTCTCAAAAAAAATAAATAAATAAATAGCTGGGCATGGTGTTGGGTACCTGTAAGCCCAGCTACTTGGGAGGCTGAGGCAGGACAATGGCTTGAATTCAGGAGGTGGAGGTTATAGTAAGCTGAGATCATGCCACTGTACTCCAGTCTGGGTGACAGAGTGAGACTCTGTCTCAATAAAAAAAAAAAGAAAAGAAAGGAAAGGAAAAGCAACTCCAAGCTTATTTTCTGTTGACGGTGGGTTGGTAAAATCAACTTATACATGAAGAACAGCATACTACTTTTTTTTGAGATGGAGTCTCCATCTGTTGCCCAGGCTAGAGTACAATGGCACCATTTTGGCTCACTGCAACCTCTGCCTTCTGGGTTTAAGCAATTCAACTGCTTCAGCCTCCTGAGAAGCTGAGATTACAGGCACCCACCACTATGCCTGGCTAATTTTTGTATTTTTGTAGAGACAGGGTTTCACTGTGTTGGCCAGGGCAGTCTAGAACTCCTGACCTCAAGTTATCTGCCCAACTTGGCCTCCCAAAGTGCTGGGATTACAAGCGTGAGCCACTGTGCCTGGCCATGCATACTACTATTAAATCTAGAAATATACCAAGAAACCCTCCAATTAAATTGATGAAAACAAGTATTGGGTCCAAAAATATAATTTGTGACCAGTTTTGTGACTGAGTCCAGGAGAAGAATAGCCTACTAGCTTGCTGATGTACTCTTTATAGACAAGCATGAAAAATTAATAGCTCTACAAATTTCTGACCATCCTCCTAGGAGAAATAGAGATAACATCCTCTGCTAACTACTTGATGTAAAACACTAACCATCTAAGGGATGATTAGATATGGCAAGGGTTGATTCTCCATTTTCTGCTGTTTAAGCTGTTATCATGGTATACCAGAAACAGAAAATGTGAACTTGGGTTCCAGCTCAGGCACCTGGTGCCAAGTTTGGTGAAAGCATCTTATGCACTGTCAAGGCTGTGAAATTCAATATTCAAAACAAAGAAGGACTTCTGAATGTTAAGACTTCTATCAAATATACTTGGCTGCTTCTTCATTCACCCAAACCAGGTGGCAGTAGTCACAAGGTCACCACGTGGTACATTTGATTTTCCTTACCTGGCACAAGCCAAAGCCACCAGGGCAGCAGCAGCATTTTCTTTTTGCTTATGTGGGATGTGTCGGCCTGTGTCAGAAGTCTCCTCTAGCCAAGAGCACAGCAAAGTTTCAATTCCATTGAGACAGTCAGCAGGCTCCTTGGTCAAGCTCAAAGGCTGGCAGTCACGAAGGCAGTTCAATAGCACCTCAGCAGTTATGTTACAGAGAGAGGGGTCTGTTCTACTCTGGGACTGAATAAGGGGGAAGACCAGCAGGAGCCCCATCCTCGATGTAAAGGGTGCTTGCTCAGGTTGCTGCAACAAGCCCTGGCGTTTTAGCAGGGCCAAAGTTTCCTCATCACCTGAACTTTCCCTTTCATGCTGTTCTTCCAAGGCCAGCTGGCGCTGGGCATTCCACAGTCCTCGCAAGGCATTCAGGCGGTATTCCAGCAGGCGGGCATAGGCATTGCTCTGATTCCCACAAACGGAGCGCAAATGTTCGGCTAATTCCGATGGGTTCTTGGTCTCAAAGGTTAAAATCTAAGGAAAAAGACAGTGGAGAAGTGGGTAAATACTACTTTCACCAAAGTCATCTAAGGAAGCAAATATGTTTAATGATATCCCAAAACAGACCATGCCAAAAATTGTTTTAATTAAAATCAAAGGGAAAATGTATACTGTAACACCAGCTCGCTGCTGATAGAGTTGTTCCCCCTTTGGCTTTTCTGTTAATGCCTCTACTAAAATAGGGATTAGACTTAATTGAAAGAGCCCAAACCATAAAAGAATATAGTTAAGCGTGAAAGTCAGAAATTAACTCCAGAATTTATTTTAGAAAATTGAAGTATAAGGCCAAGCACGATGGTTCACATCTATAATCCCAGCACTTTGAGAGGCTGAGGTGGGCAAACAGCTTGAGCCTAGCAGTTGGAAACCAGCCTGGGCAACGTGGCAAAACTCTGTCTCTACCAAAAATACAAAAAATAGCCAGGCTTGGTGGTGCACATCTATCATCATGGTAACCTCGGAGGCTGAGGTGGAAGACTGCTAAAACCTGGAAAGTAGAGGCTACAGTGAGCCATGATGGTGCTACTGCAGTACAACCTGAGTGACAGAGCAAGACCCTGTCTCAAAAGATAATACTACAAAATAAAAAAAGAAAATTGAAGTATAGACCTTTACTAAATGATCTTGAGTTATAAATGTTGTTTCTAACTCCTATTACCAAGTAAAGTACTATTAAAAATGGAACCAAGTTTTATCTTTGTTCTTCAAAACCTAATACATCTACCAATAAATGATGGATTTTTTATGGTTCTTTGGTTTAGAAACATACCTCATTCTTTTCTTGAGATGGAGTCTTGCTCCATCACCCAGGCTGGAGTGCAGTAGCACAATCTAAGCTCACTGCAACCTCCACCTCCCATGTTAGGGTGATTCTCCTGCCTCAGCCTCCCTAGTACCTAAGATTACAGGGGCATGCCACCACACTCAGCTAATTTTTGTATTTTTAGTAGAGACGAAGTTTCATCATGTTGGCCGGGCTGGTCTCGAACCCCTGACCTCAGGTGATCTGCCTACCTCAGCCTCCCAAAGTGCTAGGATTACAGGTGTGAGCCACCATGCCTGGCCACATACCCCATTCTTAATAGTGTTAACCCATTATTTTAATTTGTGACATGGTATAGATTTAGCCAATTCATATTAGATTGTTTTCTTGCCAAAACATAGAATTATTAGGAGGCCTCTAAATTTTCAGCAGCTGGGGATAATAAAACCGTTGTATATCTTCTTTCAACTAAGAAAGGAACCAGCTCTCAATATCAAACTAAATCTCAAGATTCAAACTAAATTTATAATGCAAAGAGTTTATGCACATAAATTTGACTAGGTCAAAATGAACAGACTACTATAATCCACAAAGGAGGGCACTCTAGGAGCAAGCACACTGAAACAGATGATCAGACAACAGAGGTGCCTGGTTCACAGTAGAACAGAAAGTCAGTGTGGGAAAAGATTTGGAACAAAAGCCAAGAAAATTCTGCCAGGTCTTTGGCACTGACATCAAGAAAGTCATAGTGTAATTTATTGCCCTTACAAACTGGAAAAATACTTTCTTCTATCTCAAATTTTGCCTTTAGAAAGTTGTTATATTTTAGCCCAATAAAATAACAGGAACTTCCAGAGTAATGCAAACACTTTAATTGCCTTGCTTAGATACATATGCAAATCACTGAACTGAAAAAAGTTTCACAATTTAAAAACAACACAAAAGCAAAACTAAAGGAGCAAGATGCTAAAGAAAAACAAAGACAAGCTGAATTAGAAGCTGCTCAATTAGCACGGGAGAAAGAACTAATAATTAGACAAGTATTATTGGCAAAGAAAGAAAAAGACATCCAGGAAAAAAAAAAATTCCAAAAGAATGGCAAGCTGGGTGGATGACATATGCCTATACTCTCAGCTACTTGGAAGGTGGAAACAGAAGGACTGCTTGAGCCCAGGAGTTTGAGGCTGTAGTGGCTTTGATTGTGCCTGTGAATAGCCACTGCACTCCAGCCTGAGCAGCACAGTAAGACCTCGTCTGCTTAAAAAAAAAAAGGCAAAAACTTGGAAACTCATGCAACATCTGAAATCATTTTTCCAACAATGAAGCAGGGTGGGTTAAAATGACAGAAGGCCAGGTGTGGTGGCTCATGCCAGTAATCCTAGAACTTTGGGAGGCCGAGGTGGAAGGCCTGCCTGAGGTCAGGAGTTCAAGGCTGCAGTGATTTATGATGGCACCAGTGCACTCTAGACTGAGGGACGGGGGAGACCCTGTCTCAAAAAAGAAAAAAAAAAGAAATGATGGAAGAAGTAGAAAAACTTTGTAATCAGCGTGGACTAGAAAGCTTACAATACTTTAATGAAACACATCATTTACAAAAGAAGTAGGAATGGCTGGCATGGAAATGAAGAAATAAATAAACAAATTACAAAGGAGAAACAGGAAGCTAGGGCTTGTATGTGACAAGCATCTAAGAATGCAGAGAAATAAACTGGCAGGGATGGGAATGGCAGTAACAACAGGTAAGAAGACAATGTGCAGTTACAAGTTAAAGCTATGCATCTCTTCCCTGCCGGAACGAATTCAAGATGGGAAGTTATTGCTAACTACATCAACATACATTCTTCTACTGATATCGAGACAACCACCAAAGGTGTTATTGGCAAAGCAAAGAGCCTCCAAAAATTGGACCCTCATTAGAAAGACAAACAAAAAAGGCTTTTGATAAACTTTAAAAAGAACATTGCCTCAAGCAACGAAACACCTTCAGAATGATTGGAAGGTCCGTGTACCCACTTCACCCCTTGGACAACAAACAGAAGTTTTTTGAACAAGCTTTGAATACATACCCAGACAACACATCTGAAAGATGAGAGAAAATAGTACAAGTGGTACCTGGCAGGACAAAGAAAGACTGTATGAAAAGATGCAAGGAACTTGTCAAGATGGTAAAAGCAAAGAAAGCTGCTCAAGATCAAGTGTTAGCTGGGCGTGGTGGCTTATGCCTGTTATCCCAGCACTTACAGAGGATGAGGTGGGAGGATCACTTGAGACCAGGAGTTCAAGACCAACCTGGTCAACAGAGCGAGACCCTGACTCTAAAAATGAATAAATAAAATAAAATAAATAAAAAGAACAAGTGTTGAATGCAGGTAGAGTTAAGAAATGAATTAATCTTTACTGGGTATGCACTTTTTATTAAAAAAACTGGAAATACTGAGAAAACAAAATAACAAATTCCAATTCAAAAAGTTAACTATAAGTATCTCGGTTAACTAATATGAAAAATGTTCATAGTTTAAAAAAAAAAAATTTGCCAGCCTATCAGATCTGATGTAATATCAGGATGCCATAAAATTTCAACCAACAACTTAGCAAAGAAAGAAGCTATTGAGGCTGGATGTGGTGGCTCACACCTGTAATCCCAGCACTTTGGGAGGCCAAGGTGGACAGATCACCTGAGATCAGGAGTTCAAGACAAGCCTGACCAATATGGAGAAATCCTGTCTCTACTAAAAATACAAAATTAGCCGGGCGTGGTGGTGCATGCCTGTAATCCCAGCTACTTGGAAGGCTGAGGCAGAGGAATCGCTTGAATCCGGGAGGCAGAGGTTACTGTGAGCTGAGATTGTGCCCTGCACTTCAGCCTGGGCAACAAGAGTGAAACTCCATCTCAAAAAGAGAAAGAAAGAAAGAAACTACTTCAATGAAACTAATGGCATTTTGTTGAGAGAAAGAAGCCAATTTTCAAGTTATGTTCTGCATGATTTCATTTCCGTGATATTCTGGAAAATAGATAACTATGGTAATAGAGAATAGATCAATGGTTACTGAGGTTTAGGGGTAAGGGTAGGGCCTGACTACACAGGAATAGTATGAGGGAGTTTTGTGGAGGCGGGAGGCGGGGTGTGAAGGAATTGTTCCCAGCTGTGGTGGTGGTTACATGAATTGACAACATGTTAAAATTCATAGAACTACACACCTCCCAGAAAAGGCCAATTTGATTGTATAATTTTAAAGATTAAATAAAAGAGAAAAATTCCAGATGGACTATAGTTGTATTCAACTAGATATCACTGGGTAAAGATATATAGAAAATAATATTATTAAAAATAAAAATTAGAGATTTTTTAATGTGTTTTTTTTTTTTTTTTTTTTTTTTTTTTGAGACAGGTCTCATTCACCCAGGCTGGAGTACAGTGGTATCACCTCAGCTCACTGCAGTCTCAACCGTCCCAGGCTCAGCTGTTGGATCATCCCACCTCAGCCTCCTAAGTAGCAGGGACTAGAGGCATGTGCCACTATGCTGCTAATTCTTTGTATTTTTTGTAGAGATGGGAGTCTCCCTATGTTTCCCAGGCTGGTCTTGAACTCCAGGGCCCAAGCAATCTGCCTGCCTCAGCCTCCTGAAGTGTTAAGATTAAGGAATGAGCCACTGTGCCCAGTCACTTACTTAGTTTTTAATACAACCAGATCAAGCAAATAATGATTGATTAAATGTCCTTCACCATCAAGTCACATAAAACTGTATTCCTCCACCCTTTTATTTAGATTCACCAAACACATATTATCTTTTTGATTATTTTTCAGATGGACGCAGATGAAATAACTCAAGTTCCTTAAAAAATGATCACATTTCAAGGGCAACCACCTGCCTTGAAGCTGTTATCACACTCAAGAAAGTCATACGATTTTCATTTTTTTAAGTGCCATCCCACCAAAAAATCAGTAACCAGCTGCCACTATTATAATCAATAAAGATTACTGAAATACTTTTCAATGACGTGAAAAACCAAAAAAATTTAAAACTGATCATCTTCCCAGTTATAAACATCTAAACAAATAATAATTTTTGGCACTTTAAGAAAGCTTTTCAGTATTGATTGCTATTTCTTCCACCCAATAAAACTATTGTATATAAAATACCTACCTATGTACTCAATGTACATTTTTATTTATGGTACATCAATCATCTACTTTCTTATATGAAGCA